CCGCGTGCACGAGGATGGGCGCGGAGCGACGCGCGATCTGCGTCGTCGAGCAGGCCAGGCCAGGAAGGGGAGGAAGAAGAGGCTAGGCCACGCCTGGGTTGGGCTGTAAAGAGAGAGAGAGAGAAAGAGTTTTTCAAAATTAAATCCTTTTTCTATTTCTAGTTTCCAAATCCAAGCCAAATTCAAATGGAATTTGAATTCAACTTCAACTATTCTAGCCCTACACTCAACCAAAAATAGTATGCTTCGACATGAATGCAACAAACATGTTTTTAAACCTTATAGTTAATTTTATTTAACCAAAATTTATTATTTAACCTAGGTTAAAAATACATAGAAAATTAAATAAATGCTCAAAATTAATTACTCATTTGCGGTTGAAATTTTTGGGTGTTACACCATCCTATGCACAAATCATCATGTGCACAATGTTTATGCTCACCATTTTGATCGGTGCGAGTTGTCCTTTATTCCATGTGTCAACATGAGTTGGAGAACATGAAGCTAGACACTACTATAGAATTGATTTTAGCAATGACCCTGTTTTAGGGCAGAGGCGGCTCAATTCTCATCCGCCTCTATAGAGGCCTTCGTCGGGTCCCACTAACCCAATCGCCTCTACAAATACATTTTTAGATGTGGTTAAGTTTCACAACCACCTCTAGAAATGACAATTTATAGAGACAGCTAGGAATCCCAGTCACCTCTATAAATGGGAGCCATTTTTAGAGGCGTCTGGTTGCGGTTTCCAGAAGCCTCTAAAATGCCACTTATAGAGGTGGTTGTAATTAGAGCCGCCTCTTCTAATGGCTATAGTATATATTACAACCCCATTCGTTAGCTTGAGGAGGAAGAAAGGAAGGGCTTGGGAAACTTTCCAAAAATTATAAATCTAGGGGGGAGGTTTTGCTTTTGATTCCTTTGGAGGAGAGACTCTTGAAGGTAAGTAAATGCTATTTCTAACATATTTTCAAGGTTTAGTGGTAAATTATTGGCTTAATTAGGTTTGATTTTCTCTCTCTTGCATGGTGGTTGAGGTATTTATGAAAGAAATTATACCAAATATTTGAAGGTCATATGTTAAATTTAGTAGGGGAACAAGATTCTACCCTTATTTAGTGGCCATGTCTTAATTTTTAGGGGCTTTGGCATTCATACCCCCACTTTCATATCAAATGGTGATTTTGCCCTTGTTTTTTAACTTTGTGACTTTACCCTTGCGATTCCAAAACGAAGGGAGAGTTTGCTCCTATTTTATGAAGTCCTCTTAACGTTGTTAACTTTTGGACAAAAGGATAAGTTTGCCCATGTGATTTTGCCTCTGTTTATTTTGCTCTTTGTGTCTTTACCCCTATTTTTAGATTATGGTTTGGAAAATTTGTATGGATTAGATAATTCAATTAGTTCAAAACTCAACAAATCTTAGAAAAAATTTGACAATATTTTAATGCATATAAACAAAAAATATTATCACATATATAGCATTAATGGCAATATAAAAGGTCAAGTTAGTATGTCTAGATGGCATATGACATGCCAACATATAGGTCCATATGACATGCCAACATACAGGTTCAAAGGACAAGGCAAACAAAAGTAGGAACACATTAGCATACAGGTCCAAGTCACATTACCTAGTAGTAAGTGTTGAAGTTAACTAGCAAGCCTAAGAAGGTAGTGGTGAGTTCACTAGGCAACTAGTAGTGAGCTACATATCAGACATAGAAACCTAACAAAGTAGCAAGCCTCCTAGAAGTTCCACCTCCTCTTCCTCTCTTCTTTCTCTTCCCTTTCTAGTAGCACTTGCACTTTATATGAAAACAATAGAATTATGTTAGTAAAGTTAGAATATGTGAAAGGGGATTACCAAAATAAATAGTAATGAGAAGTAATGTTGCATGTCTTACTTTGTCTCATTATTGGCCTCTCCTGACCATCTTCCCCTTTTCCCTTCATGTACCACTTGCATTTCACAAGAATAAAGGAAAAGCTTGTTACTATAGTTAGCAACGCTAAAAATTATAGAAAAAAATAGAATGAGCAGAATACAAGCATCACATACATTGACAAGTATTGTTTAGAACCATACAAGCAATGCACACTATGAAATCAACTAACTGTAGCAACCTAAAGCTGCACATGTCAACAACCTTTGTCGGCAAAGTTCTACCTTGCCACCACGACTTTGGATCATCATCTAGCAAGCTGAGAAATGATTAAACTCTAACAACCTTCTTCACCTCCCTGTGATTTGGCCTACAAACCATAGCAACGCTTTAACAAATCTACACACTAACTTAAACACCACTGCTATTTCACACTAAAGTACACATCACAAAGACTGAAAAAGTACCTAACCTCTTCCAAGGATGGTGGCTCATGACCGAAGTGGTGGCCACCTCCCAGTCCCTAAGCCCGAGCTTGTGCAGCCTGCCAGTCCCAGCAGCCTAGAGATGCTGACCACCGAGCCCGAGCAGCTCTCGCGGAGCCATCAGTGGCCCGAGATCCGAGCAGTCCGCAACCGCCGAAGCCCCTTGATATTGGCCGCCCGCTGCTCACCGCCCGTAGCGCCCTGACGCCCACTGCGCCTAGCAACCCGCAACGCTCGACGCCCATGCCCATCGATAGGCCGATACCCTGCTGCCTGGTTAGGGTTTTGCGAATTCGCATATGATCGATTGGGGAAAAAGTGAAGTGAACGGGTTGGGGCTCTATGGGGAGAAAGGATAGGTGGGGGTAGTTTGGCCTATTTCGCATGGGTGCCTTTTCTTGTTCTATTTTTTGGCTGTTTAATTCCCTGTTATTAAAGGCTGACACAGACTTAGGGAAAACAAACACTTTGTTTTGGAATCATGAGGGCAAAAACCAAGGCAAATAATCGTTGCATACATACCAAATCCATTTGGTTTCCCAAATAATTCATGTGTACATATTTTAATTTAATAGCCTCTACCATTGCTCGGAAGTGGGACCGCATTGACATGTGGGACTCATTTGTCATTTTATTTATTTATTTTTCTTCCTCTCATCCTTGTGCCCTGTTCGTTTGACTGATAAGTCATGGTTGAAAGTACCGTTGACTAATTTGTTGTTAAAAAAATACTGTTCGTTGACTGAAAAAATACGGTTTATAAGGCAAGCGAATAGAACGCTTATTCCTTCGTTCTCGACGGACGGCAGTGCCCCGTCGCAGAGGCATGGCGCAGACTGCACGTGCTCCCTGCGCCTTCGTGCTGCGTCCCACATGGCCGCGCCTGCTCTGCCGGTGCTCGACCGTGCACCGCTCTACTTCCTCCTCTCCTCCGCCGCCAAGCTTGGCCGCTTCTCCTCTCCACTTCCTCTTCCTCCCCTTCCTCTTCCATCACGCATCTTCTTTTCCAGCGAGCTCACGACGCAAGCGCCAAGGCAGCCATCTACTTGGGATGACTCTGTCCGCTCATAAAAGAGGGACTTGGAGTCATGAAAACTTTAGGTAGCGTTTGGTTGGGAGTCAAGGTGGAGTGGAACGGTCCTGTTTCTAGTTTATGGGACGGGACGGCTCTATTTTCTGTTTGGTTGACGAGGGACGGGATCGACTCATTTTGTGTTTGGTTAAGAGACATAAAAAGTGGGACGAGCTACCGACAAGTGGGACCCATTTGTAAGTTTTTTTTTCTTTTTTTTCTTTTTCCTTCTCTTCTCCTTATCTCTTCCTTTCTCTCTCTCTCTCTCTCTCTCTCTCTCTCTCCTTATCTCTTTCTCCCGAACCTCGCCCACTCTTCCTCTTCCTCCCCCCCCTCGCCCCAGACCTCTACGCCGCCGCCTCTTTCTCGCCTTTACATGCAGCATGGTGGCGGCAGAGATGAACTGCATGCAGCATGGCCGGCGCCGAGCTCACCCATCGCGCCACCTCTCACGCCAAGGCTTGCGTTCCCCGTCGTGGCTCATCCTGTGGGCGCCGCTGTTCGGCGGAGTTAGGGGCGCTTGCTGTCATTGGCGCCACGGGAGTTAGGGCGGAGCTAGGGGTGCTGCTTGCCCAGTCGCCTGCTCTCCACCACCCACGCTCTTCCGCTTTGGCCGCCTGCCGAGCCGGGCTGGAGCTCACCCTTGGCCACAGCGTCGGAGCCGGGCCGAGCTCACCTGCCTTTGGCCACAGCGTCTTGGGCCGCGGTGGCGGAGCTCGCCCGCCTGACCTGCGCCACCATGACAAGAACGGAGCACTCGCCCGCGACCCGTCCGTGGACCGGTGACCGACGCCTCCTCCTCTTCTTCTTCGCAATGAGCCGCTCATCCCACCTGGTCGCCCCGTCCGTGAAAATTTTGGGGACAGGGTCATCCTGCATCTCACGGTATATTCGCACGAGGGACATCCTCACTCCTGCTCGCCCCTCAACCAAACGTTGCTCGTCCCAGGTCCGTCCCATCCCATGCCACCTTGTCCCTCCAACCAAACGCTACCTTACGGAATATCTCCAGTGGGATGTCCCTCGTTCCTGCCATTCTCTCGACCAACCACCACAAAAATAGGTCTATCCTGCACTAAAATCCTCCCAAGTCCCAACCAAACATTACACAAGATTTTCACTTTTTCAAACATCCACATTTAATCATTTCCCACATATAAAAAAATATAGTACTTATTAAGAAAAAGGATCTGACTCGTACAGTCGCATACCCGGCATCCAGATCCTCCTCGCATTTGCTGCGTTATTTTGTTTGCCGCCCCCACAGAAAAAGGCGCAAGTTCATCCGCTTCCGTTCCTAGTTCTCACCACCCAGAAGTCGACCTCCTTGTTCCCTTCCTCCTATCCCAAATCTCACCTCCTTCCAGTTCCAGCTACCGCTTCTCGCGTTGACTCGCCTCTTCCTCCATTCAGTGGCTCCTTGGATCGGCTCAGGGACACACGCCAGCGGATCGTGTCGGCGCCGAATCTTGCGCCCATTTCGCGCTATCGTTGCCCTGGAGCAGTGGTTTGGATCCAAGAAAGTAGTCGGCCTTCTTGGTTGGATCTCCTCCCGCAATGGCGGCGCTCCTGGAGCTGTTCCTGGGCTCCTCGTCCGCGCCGGTGGACTGGGAGGCAGAGGCCTACCCAGCGTACGGGGACTTCGCCGTGCTCCCCTTACTCGTCGCCTTCTTCCCCGCCGTCCGGTTCCTCCTCGACCGACTCGTCTTCGAGGTAATCAGCTGCTTTCTTGCATTTTAGAGGTTCTTGGATCCGAAATGCCCGTGCTGTGCTAGGTTGCGTCATTTCACTGTCTCGGATTGTGGTTTGTGCGGATGAATGCCATTCATTTGGATCAACTTGGTTTAGTACGGGTGGTTCTGGGACTGTTCATGGATCAGTTAGATTGAACCAGATCATAAAAGAATTTGCTTTTGCATCCATTTCTGCAATTGTGCAAGTCTTACATGCCACCGTTATTACCAAAGTATTGGTGGATCAATTAAGTAGTAGAAACTGAAAAGTACTGCATGGTCTACCTTTTGTTATTATATTTGTGCTGGAGTGGGTTTGGGAAAGGTATGCTCACAATGTGTTAGATTTTGTTTTCCTGTAGTATATTGACTAACTTTGCTGCACCAACGATGTCTTCCTTTCGATATGTTCCACATGCCTTTGGTTGTTAGGAGTCCCATTTTTAGATGCCATTTGCATAAAGTTAACATATTTAAGCATTTTTCTGCTGTAAAGTGTGTTATCCTTTGGATGTAGAATCTAGACATCCAGCTTGTTCACTTGTTGGTTTTAGTTAGGGCTTATCAGCCAGCCAACAGTGTTTTCCTCTCATAACAAACCAGCACCAGCCGGGCTTATCAGCCCAGAAACCAACCAGCGAACAGGCCGATCATGTGTTGTGCTTTTATGGAAACTTCCTGCTTACTGGTTATTACTGACCAAATGTGGGGTGAGTAAAAAATCTGGCTGTGAATCTTATTATAGAACAAGGATGGAACTTGTTAAAAGGATATTTATCATCTATAAAAAAATAAGATAGTTGGGAAATCAGTAGGAGGGGAGGATGAAGGAGGAATAATTGAGTAACTTGCAGATTGAACCATGACTTCTTTTGCGTACCTCGAACAAAATTTTTTTTTAGGGCGTCTAAGCATTGTTTTGATTTTACATCCTCTATTGCACAATCAATGTTGTTGTGGTATATTAAATAAGAAAGCCAAAATGAATTAATTTTGCACTGAGTACCTGCCTTGTTAGCTGTTAGCTATGTGTCACATTTATTGTGATATCAGATGACAACTATAAAATCTGAAAAAATATATTTCAAATTAGCTAAATACATTCATGGCTATAATAGTTGTGCAATATCTGTGCTATACCAGTATTTCCTTGCATCAAAATCTCATAGTACTTTCTCATAATATTTGCAGGTTTTAGCACGAAAACTTATATTTGGAAAGGGACATGACAAGCTTGCTGAAACAGATGATAGTAGAAAGAAAATCAATAAATTTAAGGAATCAGCATGGAAGTTTGTTTATTTTCTTTCTGGTGAACTGCTTTCACTATCTGTAACATACAATGAGCCATGGTTTAAGAACACCAGATACTTTTGGATAGGCCCTGGTGACCAGATCTGGCCTGATCAAATGATAAAGTAAGAAAGCAGGTCTTCTCTTCCTCTTTCAAATTTTATTTTCCCCCAAGAAGATCCATCTTCAACGTTGAATTTTCCTTCTTGCAGACTGAAGCTCAAAGCTGTCTACATGTATGCTGCTGGATTTTACACATATTCAATTTTCGCTCTCCTGTTCTGGGAAACAAGACGTTCGGACTTTGGAGTATCAATGTCCCACCATATAGCAACTGTTGTTCTGATTGTTCTTTCCTACATTTTCAGGTATTTTTTTAATAAAATTCCTGGGAAGGGGTGTTTGCCATTCTTTTGCAAACTGATACCAGCATCATGACCTAGCTGTATTGTTATTGTGCCTATCAAACAGATTCGCTCGTGTTGGCTCTGTTGTTCTAGCCCTTCATGATGCAAGTGATATATTCCTAGAGATTGGGAAGATGGCCAAGTACAGTAGCTGCGAGTGGCTAGCAGTTGTAGCATTTCTTCTTTTTGTGGCATCGTGGATACTTCTTCGGCTTGTTATATTCCCTTTCTGGATCCTAAGAAGCACAAGGTAAACAGCAATTATATTTTGTAGGTTTTCTGGCATCCAGTGCTACTTCTAGCCATTTCTCACTGTACGTTAAAGAAGCGTTACTCCACTAAAATCACTGGCATATTCCGTCATTGATGATTTGATCTATCTTTTCTTTCATTTATTCAGTTATGAAGTAATGCTGACCCTGGACAAGGAGAAGCACCGATTTTACGGCCCCATATACTACTATGTTTTCAACTGTCTTCTGTTCTCACTCCTAGTTCTTCACATATATTGGTGGGTACTGATATGGCGGATGCTAGTTAAACAGATTCAATCGAAAGGGCATGTTGGTGATGATGTTCGATCGGGTCAGTGACGAGTGACCATTGTCTCTTTTTCCTTCATGGTGTTAGATCTTTTATGTCAGCAGCATCTTATTTACTAAAAACAGTATACTGTTGCACAGATTCTGAAGGCGAAGATGAGCATGAAGATTAACTCTTTAGGTTGAAAATGCTTAACTGAAGAACTATGTTGTGTGATACCTACAGCAAGGCGCACCTTCTGAAACCCCTTTTTCCTTTTACAGAAGATATGCAGATATTAGATTTCATTAGATCATATCATTCTTTCAGCATCAAAGATGACAACCATCATTTGGGAGTTGTTGCCACTGAAGCCGCCTGTGCTCTCGGATGCTTGTATGAAAACAGAAGTGCATTGTATTTTTTTCACTCAACTGTCATTTGTAAAAGATACAGAATAATCACTTGTTCATCCATTCTTGTAACTAGACAGTTGATTTGATTTCAAATCATGTAATTTGCTACAGAAGCTTATGGAAATGGAAGTCCTGGGAAGAAGTTCCCAACAAGAATGTAACATTATGTACTTTTATTTCTGGACGACCCTGTTTTTCTGCCTTAGTTGTCCAACACAGGTAAGCTCCTAATTATTCTAATAAGAGCGTAGAGGAGCCCAAGTGCAAAGGCAATAACATATATCATATAGCAGCTTTGATGTTCAATTGACATATGTTTACATGACACCCTTAGTAATAAAGATACCCAACCATTAGACGGATGTAATAACCTGAAAGTTCTACAAAGAATCAATATTGAACCTATCCAAGGACTGAATGACGTCAAGCATGAGCCAATTTTACATCATATTCACTCTGTAGTGTATAACAAAGAAATGAGATAGAAGCTTGTTCGCTTGCTCGCAAACGATCGTAAATTTCCAGCCGGGAACGGTGTTTTTCTCTCACACCAAACCAGCCAGCAGTAAATAATCCACGATACGATACGGCCTCCCGAACAGGCTGAGAATCGAAACTACAAGCTGGTCTAGGGCAAGTATTTTGCAATGAGCTTGTCAACATGAAGAACCACATCGGAAATGTGCGGGCGCATTGCGGCTTGAGGTTGAAGCATCCAGATAACAAACTGACGAAGCTCATCAGGATAAGGAGGTTTGGGTCCTGCTGGCCACTTCAATTGCCCGTTGACAATGGCAAGTTGCAGACTTCCTCCAGACTCACCAAGAGCATACTCAAATGGTGAAACATTGTACCTAGAATTAGTTAATGTGATATCAGCCATTTATCGAACACTTAAAAACTCTAATTGATCTGTTGCAAAATGGTATAGCTGCACACAGAAACATAGTTTGACTTGAAGACACAACTCATCCTGGAACCCTTCAGCCACCCAAAGAGTATCGCAGAAGCACATGATTGACAGTTGTCCATAAATATCCAATTCAAGCTTTTGATGGGACAGTCACTCTTCTAGTACAACTTATGAACATGTTATCAGTGTTGCTGAAAAGAAGGAAAATGAACCAAACGGGACAGAAGGAACCTTATAGAGTTGTCACAAACAGTCACACATAATAATTAAAATTAAATTATGTTCCCAAGAACAAGAGGTTCAGGCAAATGTGCACCACAGTAACTATTGAGAACTAAACTAGCATTACAATCAATAAACAAGGGAACCGAATGAAGGTTTGTCAAATTTTCTCATGCAAACCACGGATAGACTTACATGATAGCAAAAAGGGTGCATCCTAGAGACCAGATGTCTGTCCTCTCATCAATATCAGCATGGCTTGGGCAGTCCCATAATTCAGGGGCCGATATATGAGCAATGCTCAGCAGCCCATTCCTACAGACACAATATGGATCAATAATACTTAGCTTTTAATGTACTAAGATTAAAGTAAGATAAACTCTCTATGAGATTATGAAAAAACTAGGGGAACAATAGAACTTAAAGTAAGTATGTTTTCTGGTGCAGAAACATTTAAATTATTATGCAAGTAGCAAACAGAAAAAAAAAATTGGACTATGGAGACACCTCTATAAGATTATGAATTATGAAAAGAAATGAAAACCGCAATTTATCAAAAGAGATCTCTTATGTGGAAAAAACAGAAGGTAACATTGACAAACCTGCAACTGTAATGCCTCAGAACGAGAACGGATTTCCTTTCTTGCAGGCCTTGCACTTCCAAAATCCATTAAAGTTGCAACAGGTGCTTGTCCTTTACGCCAGGTTATAAGAACATTACCAGGCTTAACATCGTTATGGGCGTATGGAGGATCAAAGCTGTGCATGTGTTTCAGCCCTTCACACATCTGCGATTAGCCTTCCATCAGTATATAAAAGTAGCAGGATAAAAAAAGAACAATGGTAACCATTTTCCATGCAAGTTATGATATCCCATTGTAACACTACAGGAAGATAACTGCAATGCTGCAAATTTGACTTTGACATGACAAGCCTATAAGGAACCAATGGGAACGAAGAAATACTTTGCACATTGTACAACTTCCAGAGACATCCCAATTTAACATTAGCAGACAGCACGTTGCTACCAATGGGCTAGATTCTACTCAAGAAAAAATGAAACATGCAAGCTAATAATCAACAAAGTTACTATTAGCCCAATAGAAATCAATATGGCAAAGCACAACTCAAATGATTCTTTTACATTGTAGTTTTCCCGCCAACAGTTTTGAGTTTAGAAATATTATCAGGAACTTGCGTGATAACCTATTTCATAGTGAAAAACTAAACATTGGTCTCAGCAAATAGTGTTGTAGTTGCATGAAAGCAACCCATTAACTAAATGTCAAAATTAGTAATGACATCACCAAGAACATTGCACAATGATACAATAGCCTTCTGGTCTCCTCAAATAACTGACCTGCCGGAATATTTGCAGAACATCAGCTGTGGAATAGAATTCCTTTCTGGACAGCATGATGTTAGCGTTGTCGAACAAAGTACCATCCAAATGAACAGGGAAAAGTAGGTATGCTTCATGGCTCCAATCTCCCTGTTGATTCTAAATATATCAAGACAACACGCCTTCTCAACATGAGTAAACTTTGAAAACATTAGTTGAGTAAAAACATCAAGTCCGTAACCAAAAAATAATAATTATTCAACCATACAACATTACAGCAGACTTTATCCACGTGTAACGATTTTTATTGCTACATCTCTCACATATGTATCGATGCAAAAAGAAGGCCTTGATTTTTTTTTAAAAGACACTTCTATAATGCCTAGCAGTCATGATGAAATTAGTCAATAATTGAACATGTCTTTCCTAAACCCTGCACATAGTATGGCATCTCAATATTCAGTTGTTTATAGCATCCCTAGCTGCATATAAAACATAAAAACAAGGCAGAACAAATTACCTTGACAGCTATTATGGCATGATCGAGAAGCGGCAGAAGGTTGGGGTGATTGAACAATGACGACACACGGATCTCCTCCCTCACCAGATCCAACTGCTCCTTGCTCTGTATCAGCACCTTCTTCATGGCATACGTTCCATCCTCTGAACAACACACCAACAGAAGCATCTTCAGTTTGGTATTAAGAGGCGTGGAATTGAAGAACTTCCTCCCATTCTCATTTAATCACAGCATCTTTTAACCGTGGTGGAAAAGACCTTCGAGATACATTAGCCAAATCAAGGAATGGGAAATTCGTGAACTATAAAACCACCCGCAAATCCTACTTTCCTCCCTTTCGGGCAAAATTTATTTACCAACTAATCCAGCGCACCAGAAGTATGCTCACTGAGATGAAATCAAGAGCTCGAGAGGGGGGCGCGGGGGACCTGAGACGTGGGCGGTGTCACGCCTGGCGAGCGCGGCATCGGAGGCGGGCTGGTGCTCCCTGACGAGGTAGACGAAGGCGAAGCCGCCCTCGCCGATCTGGCGGAGGACGCGGAAGCGGCGCTCGTTGATCCAGACGTCGCCGCCGCCCGTGGCCGCGTCGTAGAGCGCGTTGAGCCCCGAGATGGAGCAGCCCATCCTCGGCTCCCTTCCTCTTCGGCTCCTCACCGCCGGCGAACTCCGACGCCGCACGCCCCCGACACCCGTGTCCTGGCGTGGTTGGTCCGGTGGGCTCGCAAGTCAGCCGACTCCAGGTTCCTGCTTCTTAAACTGTCTCTAACGGCGCACGCAAAAGTCGACCCAAACGCGAAATGCGTCTTGTACAGTGTTTTTACGTCGCAAGATCACGCTTCAACGGAGGACGCATTCAAGCCAGCCATTTTACGTAGCAGCGGTGTTGGGAGGCAAAAAAAAAAACGTCGTCGTTCTCGACGACGCAAAACACAGAGAGAGGGAGGAGCGACTGACGCCGGGCCCGGCACAGGGGCGGGGCCGATGGAGGTCGGTGGAGGCGCGGCTGCAGTCGTGGAGTCCGGATCCGCCCGGCCGCCATCGGAGGGAGTAGGGGTAGGCGTCATCGGGGCAGGGGAGGGGCTGCGGTCGCTGATGGAGGTCGGTGGGAGCAGGGACTGGCGGCGTGAGGCAGGGGAGGGAGGATCCCGCCGGCGAGGTCCGCCTGCGGTGGAGCAGCGCCGCCGGCAAGGGCCGCTCGCCGCCCTCGCAACACCAGCGAGCCGCTCGAGCTCCTCAGAGATGTCAGAGTTGAAGCTGAAGGTCGAAGAAGTCCCGCGACAGCTCGAGCAGCTCCGTGGCGACCGCATTGATGGTGGAGGTGGATCTGGGAAGTAGAACACCGCATGCCCGCCCATGGTCCGCGGCCGTGGCTTGCTAGCCGTGGAGGCCTGCGCGGCGGCGGCGCCCGCGCCCGCGGCCTGCAGGTAAAGTGGCGGCGGCGCCCGTGGCTTCCTCGGGCCCACACTCGTGCCGCGGCAGCTTGGAGAAGACGACCATGGGAGGAGACGGAATGTCTTGCCTCTGGCTCCATCGCGCCCGCTCAGGCCTGCGAGAGGAGGAAGGGAAGAGGCGACGGCGCTCGCGAGAGGAGGAATGGAAGAGGACCTCTGTTGCGCCCGACGGTTGGAGAAGGGAGTTTATGAGTCACGGACCTTTCACTGTGCGCGATGTAAACCGGGGAATGCGTCTTGATTTTGGGTGCTCTTCGTTGGATTCAGTCTTATGTGGGGGAGTGATGGACAGTGTACCTTTTCGTCCTTCAGAAATGGCCTAAACTCTTTTGACGCGATTGGATTAGTTTAAATTTTGTTTAAAAAACAAACACACAAAACATCTCCACGTTTCGAAAAAGAAAAACAACAGTTGTACATCAATAGATGATGAGATGAACTCAGATTAAATCATTAATTTCAAAGTCTCCTTTTCGTGAAACTTGTCACGGTGCTAAATTTTGCTTCATGTCCAAGCAAGCAAGTGGGCCATTTGACCTGGAGGTGTTGTTTCTCTTTGCTTGAAGTCTAAGCATGTACGCGATTCGTTCCATCAATAACATAGAGATTAGCCCCCTCAAAAAAAAATAGAGATTAGAGGCGCAAACGTTAATGAAGGTGCTCAATTATTCTTTTTGAAATTGAAATTTCGTTTGGAGTTTGTTGACACTCAGTGCGCATAAAAAGCATCACAAGTCAAACGTTGGCACATCCACCAAGATACTCGCAATTTTTATTTTTACAAAAGATAACAGTACAGTTCTTGTAGATGCAGCAACCGTTAAGTGCCAGCGTAGAAGCATTTTGTCAACCACTTTTGATCAATAATCAGAGTCGATGTTGCTAGAAAAATATAATAGTAGCACAGTCCATGAACTTCCGTTGAGATTCCATTCAAGGTGAGAAAGTGGATGGTTCGTGCCAGGATGTTCACGTGTGATTGTGTGAACCTTGAAACTGAAGCTAATGTGCTTCTTTTTTTTTTTTTGAGTGAAACAGGAGGTGCTTGCCCCTACTGGAATTTTATTCACGTTATCATTTATTCCAAATTACCATCGAGATGCATTATTATATCCCGATTCAAAGTGTACCTTATTAAGTTATAGAGATATTCGTCAAAATGGTTTTCATTTAGAAACCCATGATGACAATAATAAGAAAATTCTTCTCGTTACTAAAAATGGTGGATATGACAAACGAATTATTGAGAAAATTCCCTCTTTTCCATCCGGATTGTACTACACATACATCAAACTCGTATCACATGTTGCGTACAAGGTAATTTTTCATAATGTTGATGCATTCAAAACTTGGCATGAACGCCTTGGCCATCCTGATATAGGGATGATGCGAAAAATTATCAGCAATTCTAATGGTCATGAGTTAAATACTGCTAAATTCCCAAAATCTTTAGATTTTATGTGCACTCCATGCGCTACAGGGAAATTGATTTTACGTCCATCGCACGTTAAAATCTAAAATGAGTCACTAAAATTTCTTGAACGTATTCAAGAAGATATTTGTGGCCCCATACAACCAACGTCTAGACCGTTCAGGTACTTCATGGTTCTAATAGATTCATCTACTAGATGGTCTCATGTGTGTCTATTGTCCACACGTAACTATGCATTTGCAAAAATTATTGCTCAAGTTATTAAACTTAGAGCACATAATGCTGAACATCAAATCCAATCAATACGAATAGACAATGCTGCTGAATTTTCCTCAAGGGCTTTCAATGATTATTGTATGGCTTTAGGAATTCAAGTTCAGCACTCTGCCCCATATATCCATACAAAAAATGGTTTAGCAGAATCTCTTATTAAGATAATTAAACTCATTGTAAGACCGTTATTACAAAATTGTAATCTACTAATTTTATGTTTGAGTCATGCAGTCTTACACGCTGCTGACTTAATTCAATTATGACCACCTGCATATCAAGTTGTCTCCCCATTGCAATTAGTACGTGGAAATGTGTCAGATATTTCTCATCTGTGAAAATTTGGTTGCGCTGTATACGTACCGATCTCACTACCTAAGCGTACCTCTATGGGTCCACATAAGAAACTTGGTATGTATGTGGGATATCAATATCCATCGATTATCAAATACCTCGAGCCTCTTACAGGGGACTTATTCACGACCTGGTATGCTGACTACATATTTAATGAGGACCATTTCCCGGCATTAGAGGGAGATTTCAAGTACCAAAACGAATGCTAGGAAATCGACTAGAATGCCCAATTGAAAGGTCCTAATATGGCTAAATGGGGGTGAATAGCCTATTTAAAAATCTATAAGATCACTAGAGCAATTTGATTAGTATGACAAACGGTGTAATGCAATTTTGCTTTAGCTCTACTAGGGTTGCAAGCCACCTATCCAAATAATTCTAGTTGCTATAATCACTAGGCACGCACAAGAGCTAAGTTGCTACTCACTAAGAGCTCTCAAACTTGCTACACTAAAGAGCTCCACTAGATGAACTTAAGTTACAAAGCAAGCTCTCAAATCTATCTACACTAAAGAGCTTGCTACAACTAGTTTGCAGGAATGTAAATGAGTAACATGATTATACCGCCGCGTAGAGGAGTGAACCAATCACAAGATCAATACCAATTCAATCACCGGGAGAATACCAAGGGGTAAGAGACAACCAATTTTTCTCTCGAGGTTCACATACTTGCCGACACGCTAGTCCTCGTTGTGTCGACCAACACTTGTTGGTTCGGCGGATAAGAGGTGTTGCACAAACCTCGTTCACACAATTGGACACCATAAAGAACCTATCCATAAGTGACGTAACTCAATGACACGAGCAATCCACTAAAGTTACCTTTCGGCTCTCCGCCGGAAAAGGTACAAGACCCCTCACAATCACCGGAGCCGGCCACAAACAATCACCAACTCGTGCCAAAACTCCTCCGCTGCTCCAAGCCGTCTAGGTGACAGCAACCACCAAGAGAAACAAGAAATCCACAGCCACAACGATCCCCAAGTGCCACTAGATGCAATTACTCAATCAAATGCACTTAGAATCACTTCCAATCTCACTATGATGATGAATCAATGATGAAGATGAGTGGGAGGTGTTTGCTTAGACTCACAAGGATGTTAGGAATGTTAAAGTGATAAGAGAGTTGCCTTGGAGCTGGCCAAACACTATTTATAGACGTCCCCAAACTAATAGAACCGTTAGAGCCAAGAAAGGGCGCCCTGCGTACTGACCGGACGCGCCGGGGTGAGCCCAGTCACCCCACGGCCAGCATTCGGTCGTGAACAGTCTCCTCCTTTTCTTTTTCTAAGTCTACAACCGCTTCACCCTTACTTCTAACTTGCTAACCACAAAGTGTAGAACTTATGTGCACGTGTGTTAGCATTTTTAAAAGCATTTTACAAGGGTCAAGGTTAGCACACTAGGTTCCTAAATGCATATGCAAGAATCATGTCACCTAGTGGCACTCGATAAACCATTTAGCCAAAGATTTCCCCTCTTTATAGTACGGCTATCGATCCTAAGTCACTCACACCCTCTATGGTGTCTTGAGTGCAAAACAAAAACATATTATATACCTTTGCCTTGATCATCTTGGTTTTTGTTTTTCTCTTTCTTATTTTCAAGTTGAGCTTGATCATCATTATTTCACGTCCACCTTCAACTCCATGGACCTCATCTTGCTCAATCACTTGGAATGGACCACCTTATCTAATTCACTTACTTAGATCAAAGGTTAGTCCTAGATTTCATCAATTATCCAAAACCAAACTAGGGCTTTCACCAAGGCATTTCCTCCTCAGATCCACGTACTCAAGAGACTAAACAACAAGTTCAGAAAATCATAAACTTGCAACATATTGCAAATAACCCACTAGAAGCATTTACTGAATATAAGGGTGTCACTAAATCCTCTTATCCTGCTCGTAATGTGCCCGAAAGAGTGGAGGTACCAATAAAAACCATTCAACTCCCACTTCCAAAGAAGAGGGGAGAAGTACGGCCGCTCCTAAGGATAATGCTCCAAGTAAGCGTCCGAGGATATCGAGGGCTAAATCCTCCAAATCAGTAAATCTAAGCCAACCTCAAGTTGGTAGACACCCAATAGTGGATAAAAATCCAACACTAGGACCAAATCCACAACCCGGATCAACGGTGTATCCAAATTCTGATCCTAGGACATCGGAACATCCTGACTCCATAATTTTAGGAAATGACGAGTCAATTAATGGGGTGAAAGAAATTTCCATCAATTATATCAATTCTAGAGAATCATACGATCGTAAGACTACTGTTATTGGCATGTACTTCTCCACAGCAATTGTAGAAATCTTCCTCAATGATCCAGATCCCAAGACCATGGCAGAGTGCAAAAAGTGCTCGGACTTGACTCAATGAAAAGAAGCAATTCAAGCTAAGATAGCCTCGCTCACTAGAAGAGGGATATTCACATCTGCAATACCTAAACCTTCCAAAGTCTTTCATATAGGCTTTAAATGGGTTTTTGTTTGGAAACGGAATGAGAACAATGAGGTGGTGAGATATAAAGCGAGGCTAGTAGCACAAGGGTTCACGCAGAGACCCAGCATTGATTACAATGAAACCTATTCTCCGGTAATGAGTGAAGTTACTTTCTGATACTTAATATCATTGGCGGTTCAAAATCATCTATCTATGCAGTTGATGGATGTGGTGACAGCATATCTATATGGGTCACTTGATTTGGACATATACATGAAGGTTCCCGATGGAATCCAAATTCCGAATCCAAACGCAAATCGCAACATGTATTGTGTAAAACTTCAAAAGTCATTATATGACTTAAAGCAGTCGGGTCGAATGTGGTACAACCGACTGAGTGAATTCCTTCTAAAGAAAGGATACACTAATAATGATGATTGCCCATGTGTTTTCATTAAGAAATCTCCAACAGGATTTTACATTATATCCATATATGTTGATGATTTAAATATCATTGGCAGTCCAAAAGATATAAAAGAAGCACGCAATCATATAAAGATGGAATTCGAGATGAAGGATTTGGGTAAGACCAAATATTGCCTAGGCTTACAACTTGAGCACCGTCCTTCAGGGATTTTAGTACATCAATCTGCCTATATCCAGAAAATATTGGAGAAATTCAATATGGATGGTTGTTCGTTCTAAAATAGGGAAAGACCAATTTAGACCATGGGATATTGGGAAAAAGATGTTGGGACCAGAAATCCCATATCTCAGTGTTATTGGCGCACTTATGTATCTTGCAAATTGCGCCAGGCCTGATATCGCATTAGCATTGAACTTACTAGCTAGGCATAGTGCGGATCCAACTCATCGTCATTGGACGGGAGCGAAGTGTATCCTCAGATACCTTAATGGCACAAAGGATCTTAAGAAAAATCATGATCCCAGTATGATTGGTTATACGGATGCTGGTTACTTATCTGATCCTCATAACGGAAAATCCCAAACAGGATTTGTATTCCTACATGGAGGTACAACTATTTCATGGAGGTCTTCTAAGCAGACTCTGACAGCGACCTCTACTAATCATTTTGAAATTATTGCTCTATACGAGGCATCACGAGAATGTGTATGGCTTCGCAAAATGATTAAGAGAGAATTTCTTATTTGGCCCTGATTGAAACTTGCTTTTCTTCCTTGGCCCTGGAACAAATTTTCTTACCTATTTGGCCTCACTTTAACTTTTGATTTCTAATCTGGCCTTACTGTCAGCTGCGGCCTCTAACGGTGTTAAGTGGTACATGAAATGACCAACTTACCCCTCAGATATTATGATGAACCAAAGAGCATTTGTGGGGTTTGGTGCTTGATTGTTCCATGCTAATTTGCCTGCTCAAAGTTGTTTATAGTAGCGTTTGCATCATAATGCCAACAGCGGTTCCAGGGCCATGGAAAAAATAACATGCTTTCCTTTCCACAAACATCGCCAAAAAAAACACGAGCTCTGCTCGGTCTAGATTCCACCACCGCTGCCTGCCGCACGCGGCCCCTGGCAAAGCCACGCCTCCCACAGAGCCTGCCGCTGCACCTAGCGTCCGCCACCGCCTGCGGCCCCATCAGTGCCTCGTCGTCTGCTGCCCGCGCCCTGGCAAAGCCGTGCCTGGCGTCCATGCGCCGCCAGCTGTCGTGTGCCGCCCTTGGCCCCCGAGAAATCACACCTGCCACCGCGCCTGCCTATTTTGCTTTTCCATTTGTTGATTGTCATCGGCGATGTGTTCAAGAGCAGTGCATTAGATCTAGGACAGACCCACAACTTGTGTAACGAGCAGATAACTGGGTCATCATCTTCCTGGCAGCCAGCAATGTCAGCCCATTGCATATTTCTGAGTCCAACTCCTAGCAGTAGATTCGTACTTCGCATGGTCAGTCTTGTACATGTGAGCAATCTCTGGGACCAATGGATCATCAGGGTTTGGGTCTGTTAGAAGGGAACAAATTGAGAGGAGGACCTGAAAATTGTGGGCATGTATTAGCTAAAGATGCAAACTGGAAAAGTTGACAGATAAGTGTGCAGGAGGTTGGTATGTTTTGGTTAATCTGCAGAATCTGCTAGATGATCCCAACTTCTTAAATAGGCTACACTAGAGTTATCTTGAAGTAGCTTGTAGCAATGTTACATGGAGAAGAGAATAAATACTAACCTTAGAAACTGTCAAAGCAGGGCTCCATTGTTCCTTCAAGATATCAAGACAGATGCTCCCATTGCTGTTGATATTCGGATGGAAAACCTTTGTCTTGAATGCAACCTGCAAAATGTAATAAATGATGAGCACACAGACAGGTATTTAAGATTCAGTTGGATTGCTAATGCGCATGTGTAGATAGAGCTAAGTTTTGCAAAGAACAAGGTTGGTTCTCACATTAAACAGGCTAAATCAAACCAGTGGTCCAGTATAGAATGGAATGGCAAAATAAAGAGCTAACAATTTCACAGAAATCATAGTATGCGTGCACATATTATAACATGTCATGGGCAGTGTCGATATTTGTTGACAAGCAGCACATAAGTGTCAAATTCAGAATTAGTTGGAGACGTTCCATGCCAGTAATTCTTCTAATTGAGATCTAGCCATCTAGGAAATAAGTGGACAACTGGTGTAACAGGAATGGGGGTCCAATAATTCATATGAACTGACGTGCATAAACAAATGGAAACTAATTGCTAGTTTTGTGTACAAGTACAACTGAAGACTGTTGTTATGTACATACATCAGCATACTAGATTTGCTAGTGTCACAGTGTAGGGACTGATGGCCCTGGAAGCACTCAGCAGGTTTGCATGCTCAAGTACATGACTACCATGGTGCGTGAGCGCTGCACTTATCTAACAACAGCTTGCTTGATGCCGACAAAATTACTCAACCCGCTTGAACAGAAAGGTGAATTTCTTACTGGCAGGACGATGTAACTGCCCTGTTCGACCCTGATGTAGGATCCTGAACATGACAAAAAAATGACCAGCAGGAGGCAGGCCCCTCTCCGGATCTAATAAGCAAACCTAGAGGGACGGCAGGAATGAACACCCGTATGTCCAAATGAACCATATAGAGTTATAGACAAGCTACGATCCTTTTCCTAAATTACACAATTACACAACACATGCTCGTTATCCCACCAACAACCTACACCGTTCAAAATTTGCGATCACTATTTACAACCGTCCCCAGTGGATGGATGCGCAGATCTAGCAACTACGCACGAAGAATCACACCGCGCTGACAACCAAACGTAGGGAAGAAGTCGTCTCCCATCATGGAAAATTCAAAAAAGTAAAGCTATAGCAGTGAAAGAGGAAGGCCGGGCGGAATCTAAATCACCTGGGCTGCATGAGGTGGGCGGATCCTTCTGCAGGTCCTTGAGCTCCTTGAGGATCCGCTTCGACGCCATGGATCCGGTCTCCTCCTCTCTAAATCACACCTGCCTCCCCGCACACGATTGCCGTTGTCCTCCATTCAGCACGAGCTAGCGCCCCCTAGTGCCCAGCATGCCCTGCTCAGGCCGCCGACTAGGGCCTAGGCCGCACCGCCCCCAGGTCGTGCCACGCCGCCTTGTGCCCTGGCTGCGCCGCTCGGCCTCCCGCCCCGCCGCGCGCCAAGCCGCCGCTGCAATGTTTTCAAGTCATCCGATTAATCACAATTAATCATGATTAATTGTCCTAATATGTCCCTGCTGACTGATTAGGGGTATTGTCGACTTGTACAAGTCGTTCGATTAATCGTGATTAATCGTCCTAGTCGGTCCCATGGCGACTAGGTTTGACTGGACGACTTGAAAACATTGCGTCGCTGCCGCCGCTAGGGTTGAGAAGGGAGAGTGGGAGGGAGACGGGATAGATGGAGGAGATGACACGAAGCAGAGACATGCCTGACTCCTTGACATTTTTGTCAGTTTAACAAAAACCTAACAAGTCAATCTTGATCAACTTGGACGGAGGTGACGGTAAGGCCAGATTAAAAATCAAAAGTTTAAGTGAGGCCAAATAGATAAGAAAATTTGTTTTAGGGCCAACAAAGAAAGGCAAGTTTCAATCAGGGCCAAATAAGAAATTTTTTCAATGATTAACCACATACAATAGTCATGTGATATTGGTTCAATTGAATCACCTATAATTATCTATGAAGATAATTTCGCTTGTGTTACACAGATGCAAATAGGTTACATAAAGAGCAATATCACTAAGCACATTGCTCCTAAGTTGTTTTATCCCCATGAATTACAAAAAGTGGGGAAATAAACATCTTGCAAATCAAGTCATGTGATAATCTCGCTGATTATTTACTAAGTCCTTACCAACTTCTGTGTTTCAAAATCAGTACATGAATTGGTATGCGGTGACTTCGAGATTTGCAAGAATCAGGCAAAGACATCTCCTAGATGCCACCTGTACTAGCATCATATTGTACTCTTTTCTTTCACAAGTTTTACTTATATAAGGTTTCTTGTTAAAGTTTTTAATGGGGTAATATTAACATAAGCATGTGTCATATTTTCTATTTTTCCCACCGGGGTTTTTGTGGAAAATATCAAAGACACATATTGCCCTCACAACTCATCCATGGTTTTTCCCTAAAAAGGTTTTTCATGTGAGTTATCCAGGAGGCAATACTAATAATATTTCGTCATATTTTCTCCTAATTTTCCCACTAGGTTTTTACAGGAGTTTTAGCGGCATATCACTTTATGTTGCTCCTCATATTTTTTCCTAAAAAGGTTTTTGGGGGAGTAATATATATGTCGTATCTCCAATATTTTTTCCTCACTAGGGTTTTTTATGGGATACCAATGACATAGTGGTTTATTTAAATCACATAAATATATGCTATTTTCTCCTTATTTTTCCAAATAAGGTTTAAAGGAGTTTTTATGGCATATCTATACATACATGTTCCTCAGATTTTTTTCTCATAGGGTTTTTCGAGGAATCTCAGCTTACATCTGCATTGATCTTGAAAGTGCAATCAAGCCCTAATTGTGGGTTTTGGTGATAATGACCACGCAATTAGAGAACTAATAAGATTTATCGAGATGACAACTAGGGAATTCATGTTCGAGGATGATACACGAAACAGAGGAGCCCTCAATTACAAATGTAGATGGCTTCAAACTCAAAGGAGGTTTAAATTCTTTTATATTTTGAATTTGAGTATAGGAAAAGCCGTACTATAAAGGGGGACACAATGCTTAAGCCAATATGTGCTACCAAGTGCTCAAACATATGCATACATCCTCAGATTCACAGCCAAGACAGTCTACACTTCACTCTTACCCTTGCTGTCTTGCGCGGTGCAGCACTACCGCACTCGAAGAGAGGCACTACCGCACTTGAGCCACGACACTGTCGCGACTTAAGTGACCGTTGGGGGCTAGGGGGTATTTATACCCTTCCCCTTCCTCCCCAACGGCTCTCTGCCTCTTCTTCCTCACTCTAGCTCATCCAAAACAGAAAGGAGCCTATCTCTCTCTCCCTCCATTGTTGACCTTGAGCCCTCAAGCAAATCCATTGATTTCACCATCAATCCTTGAGAGAAAAGGGTCTAAAACTCTATTAGAGAACAGTTCCATTGATTCCCCAACTCAAAAGAGCACTTGGTTCACGTTTTGGCTGGCGGTTGTATTTGTTACTCTTGGAGCTTAGATCCTAGCCGGATAGAGCGTCGCCTATGAAGCTTGCTAACTTGTGTGGCAGCCCCGAGAGGTTTGTAACCATCTTTTGAAGTTAGTAAACTCATCCCTCATCCCAAGAGTTAGGTTTCTTGACTTGAGAACGAGAAAGGATTGGAAAGCCCTAAGCCTTAGTGGCTAACCTCAACAACATAGAGGTAGGCAAGCCTTGGTGGTAAGCCGAAATATGGGATAAATCATTATGTCACTTGTGCTTAATTTACATTACTTGCATTTCATATGGTTGGTTGAGGAGATTTCTAGGGTTTCTAGTCGATTTACTTGTGTGGGGTGTTCCTACAACTTCTAGCTCTTGATCTGTGACTATCATACCTGTAGTAGGCTAAAAAATTTCTCCGATCTAAGTTTTCGTTCACTGATTTTGAACTGTGACTCAAAGTTGTCTGCAGGTGTGGTAGCGTCGCTGTTCTGGTCCGGTAGTGCCGCCCTCCAGAGCACAGTGTCGTAGGGTAAATTTGATAAAAGTTTGAGTGTTTGTTTTGACAGGCCTATTCACCCCCTCTAGGCCAACCAGAGATCCTACAAGTGGTATCAGAGCGGGTTACCTCATATACGCTTCACCGCGTGAGGTATGGAGCCCGGAGAAGAAACTAGTAGCATGAAGAGGGTGGATGTCGACACGGACAGCAGCGAGCTAAGCACGTCGACAACAAGCAACACCACGCTACCACATCTTAAGGCTACCGATGCCAAAAGAGCTCTCAATGAGAATGAGTGAAGAAGGAAGGAGACAAGAAAGCTAAAAAGAGAAGCAAGAGAGAAGGAGGAGGAACAATAGTTAGAGGACAAGAAGCAAAGAAAAGAAGAAAGAAGGCTCAAGTGAGAAGCAAGAAGAAAAAGAAGAGAAGCTAGGAAGAAGGAAGAAGAAGAGAAGGCAACAATTACATCATCATGCATATCAAGTAGTTCCAAAGATGGAGATGATGATGAGTCGTACCAAGTGTCGAAGGGGAACAAGAAGGAGAAGAAAGGAAAGGGCAAGGAAGACAACAACAAATATGCCGCCATATCCTTTAACTATTCTTCTATTCATATGACTAACCATGATCGGAGGTCTTTCATCAATATGCCCACGGGCAAGTTACCTCATTTCAATGGTACTAAATTTGCCAAGTGGAAGCACTTGATGAGAGCCTATCTTATAGGTCTTCACCCCGGCATTTGGGAGATTATTTGCAATAGATTTGAGCCACTGGTTGATCCCAAGAACCCAACACTAGAAGAGATGAGAATCATTCACCTCAATGGTGAAGCTATAAGTGTGTTGCTTAGTGCCTTGGATGGTGATGAGTACAATAGAGTGATTGGAGTTGATGTTGCCAAGCAAATATGAGACACTTTGCACCTAGCACATGAAGGGGTTGATAAAGTGAGAAAGGCAAAAATTGACTTGTTGATGTCAAAGCTCAACCAGTTTGTAATCTTGGATGGAGAGGGCCACAAGAGATGTTTGATAGGTTGAAGACAGTGGTGGGCAAGATTAGAGGCTATGGTTGTGATGAGCTAGATGATCACAAAGTTGTCAAGATGATGTTGGAAGCTTATTCACCTAGAAATGAGATCGTAGTCACTCTAATTAGAGACAAGAAGAAGTTTGAGTACTTCACACCAAATGATGTACTTGGGAGGATCTTGACCTATGACATGCAAAGAGAAGAAGCAAATGAGAGGAAGAAACTTGGAGAATTGCAAGCAAAGCTAGAGGGCATCAAGATCAAATATGTAGCTCTCAAGGTCAACAAATCAAGCAAGCAAGGCTATACAAGCAAGTCCAAGATCTACCAACAAGCTGCAACTAGCAAGCCCAAAGCAAGCAAGCAAGTTCAAGAAAGAGTAGAGACTACATCATCTTCAAGTGAAAGTGAAAATGATGATGATCAATATGAGAAGATTGATGATGTTGCTCTCTTTATGAAGAGGTTTCACAAGGGGCTAAAGAAGCAAGGCTACAAGGTAGTGAAGAGAAGCTTTCCAAGCAAGAAAAATAGGACATGCTACAATTGTGGAAGCACCGATCACTTTATTGCCAAGTGTCCATATGAGATCAAAGATAACAAATACAAGAAGGACAAGAAAGAGGACAAGGCCAAACGTAGGAAGAGCAAGAAAAATATGGGAGAGGCTCACATTGGGCCTGAATGGGACTCAACTAAAGAGAGCACAAGTGAAGAGGATAAGAAGGTTGCAACCATTACTATTCAAAAGTCATCCCCTACACCAAGGCTCTTCAACAACATGTCCGATGATGACTACTACTCTCACATTTGTCCCATGGCAAAGCGTGAGAAGGTAAAATCCAAATCAAAGGTCAAATCTCCTCCACCTCCTAGTGATATCTCTAGTAGTGATATTAGTGATAGCTCTAGTGATGATGAATCTAGTGATGAAGAAATAAATATGATAACTAAAAATTTAGATGAAAAGACCAAATTATTCATCACTAAGCTAATGGAGGATTTAGAGAGTTTCCAAGCCGAGCTAGAATCTAGAGAAGAGACTCTTATTCAACAAGAGGATCTCTACATTGCTAACAAAGAAGCTCTTGCATTAGAGAGAAGTGAGGTGAAATCCTTGCGCGAGGCCTTGCCAAAGAGTAAGAGGACCATGCTATCACAAAGAAAGCAAATAAAGCTCTCAAGAAAAAGTATTGTGACTTAGATGAAAAGCACAAAGAACTTAAGATGCAATATAGCATTCTTTAGGAT